TCCCGACCCCTCTCTAGCCGATCCTAAACTGCAGCAACAACCAGGGGAGAGGGCAGAAAGACGAGAGTCGGATGCCCTTGGAGATGGCGATGCGAAGTACGGAACAAAGTTTTCTACAGTAGAAACAGCTTCTACCGAAGATTCCTCGCTCCCTTCCCCGCTGATCGAAGCAACTGATTAAGTTGCCAAATACATAGCTAGAGAGCTAGACGATGAAGGAACAACTATTTTATGCACAAAGTCGTAAAGTAATTGCTACGTAAAAAAACAGCTCTTGCATATGAATATAGACATGCCACGCCACACTTCAGTTTACTCAAAAAAGGCGAAAATTTTTACCTAGAAAAGCTGTGCTCAGCCATGTGGAATTATATGGATGAGAGAGACTCAAAACGGAGAAAAATGGAGATGTCAGCAGCATCGGTAACGAGAAGAAGCGCGACGATGAAACAACTGCTGTTTTAAAGTAAATGACTGAGTAAAGCTGTGCTCGCAGCGCCGTAACAGCAGACGAACGATGTAGGAGTAATTTTAATGTCCGTGTCCGTCACGTACGTGAAGTGCAATTTCAGGTGCGTGTCCTTGCAAGCTATTATGTAGGTGATAGGGAGACTGGAGAAAGGATTTATCTGTCCGGAGATCGCGATACACTCTTCGATGTCACTTCGCTTGCGCTCAACCATGTGCTCAGCTCAAACATCGGTGTTGCAACAATAGCAACCCGACAGGATCGCCTTTTTGTGATCGCTCACCGCCCCGGTTCTGCCAGGTTCCATCGCTTTTCATCTCAGAAATAAAATGAAACAGAAAAAGTCGGCTTTGAGACTGGATGAAAAAGATGGACAGCTTTGATCTTGAATGTATTTGGCGCCGCTTCCGCGCTTACAGAATTGATGTGCTTCATTCAGATGACAGTCAAAATTCCCTTCCGTATTCAGTTTTTCTGAAGGGCGGGGGTAGCCCAAGTAGTAGCAAGTGCCAACAGCAACCACACGCTGGCAAGACTTTCTATGGTTTCTTCCCTTTTGGGGTTTGTTTGCAAGCAAGCTGATGGTAGGTCTAGATGCTGACATAAGTCAGTACCAATTTATTATTGTTACATTCATTTATCGGCTAAAAATCAGATCGATAGGCACTTTGTAAAATTCTGATGATGCTTTTTTCCAGGATAACGGTACGATCGAACACACCGAATATTGATTACGGCAGCGCACCTGTTGTGGTACTCATTTGACTTATTTTTCTCCCTACAATTCGATTTTTTTTGGCTTTCGCATTCCCTGCAAACTTCCATGTAGAACTTGGAAAACGTTTAGGTTGCGGAAGACGCTGTGTCGGTGCGAAGATTGGTTGTGGAAGGAGTGGTTGACATTGACCTGGATATTGAGCGAGTACCGCAGAGACCTCACGAATACATTGTCTCGACATTCT